CTGGTCCCTCAGCTTCATGGGCTCCTGGTGTGGGGCTGGGCCCCTACTGGGCCTTGTGGGGACTCCAGGAGCTAGTAGCCACAGCCCTCCCCTCTGCAAAGACTGAACATCTAGATGAGCACAACGGCGCATACCATAGAGGAGGTTCAGCCAAAGGAAATGCCTGGAAGGCCGACTCTCCAGGGGCTTCAGAGCAGCCCAGATGTGCAGAAGGGCTTTGGGGAAGCAGTGCTTGTGCGTTGGGGCCACTGGTCCTACCTGGCTGTCTGCCAGCCAGGTAAAAGGGCCCCGTGTCTAGGCTGTCAGCCAAGTGCAGGTCTGTAGGAGGGGAGGGGGCAGAGCCGTAGGCCCTGTGCCTCAGAGCTGTGTTCATGGACAGCTCGGAGCCTTACACACGTGCAGCTCCAGGAGGTGGCAGGCTTCGCCACGGACCTCTGCAGTTGCCCCAGGGACCCGGGGACTCTCTCAGGTGTTCTGGTGACAGAGTATTTTCTCCCACGTTAGACTTTCAGTTTGATGTGACTTGGAGCTTCTTCCAGCAGTTTATACTTGAACTGAAACTGTTAAATCGTTCCACCCTTACCGATAATTTATTGGTAGCTTACTGTTTTTTCCCAGGAGCAATGATTAGAGGTATCACTTGAATAACCAATGTTCTAAAATTTTTGAGTCTAGCCCTTCTCCAGTGAACAAAAGCCAAGGTAGATGTTGTGTTTTGTTTTGCTTTTTTTATTTCCAGGCAAGCCAATTTTTTCAGTTGATATTCACCCTGACGGGACCAAGTTCGCAACTGGAGGACAAGGTACGTCCATGGAATCACGGAGAGCGCTCACAGCCCTGCGCCTGGTTGCCATTGAGCTGAAGAGAGAATACTTGCTGTTTTTCAGTATGGGTGTGACTCAGTTAAAATGTATAGTTATAGTATGTTAATCTGAACAAGTTAAATCAAAATCCTTTTTTGGCCCTAGTGTGCTTGCTCTCTATAAATGTTTTTGTAGTGGGTGTGTCTTTCTAATTTCTACTTACTGGGTTAATAATAAAATCAGTTTGCATCCCCAAGCCCCAGCTTACTGAGCGTGGAAAGTGGCAAGTGGTCCTGTGGACAAGCTGCAGCCCCGGAAGCAACAGGTCGGCTCCTTGTCTAGTTTCTAGTAGCATTTCTCATCTGGGAAAGGTGGGAAAGCGGTTACTACAGAGGCAGTTGTGTAGTCATTAGGCCCATTTTCTGGGCTGAAAGGAATTGAACTGGATTAGAGAGCAAGTATACTGGGCAATAAAAACGTCCACATGATTTGAAAATAGGGTCCATATTATCACCAGTGTGCTTCATCCAGTGTCTGTTGCAATATTGCAAAAACACAGCTCTGTTTGGAAAGACAAAGTCATTGCTCAGGCCAAGACTCCAAGATGCATCTGTGGTGACACAAAGTAGCATTCCCACAGAGCCTGGCCCCAGCAGCTTTGCCCCAGCACAGGGCCTTTGGGTCGAGGCCTCCCTGGCCAGCACCCGGACAGGAACTCTTTGAGTTCTGGGTCCTTCGGCCAGGTGCTGCCGGATGGGTTGCCTGCAGACTTCCTGCCACAGGGGCACACAGGGGAGCTATCAGGCGGCCAGGCTGTGCTGGTTCATGTGCCCTGGGCTGCGCCCGAGAGGCGCTCACTGGTGTCTCCTGGGACCACTGGACTTTGCTGGGGGACAGGGTTTTCTTCCCATCCACAGGAAGCATACTTCTCACTCTACTCTGCATGATGAAGTTGAGGAGAGTTGTTCAGGAAACATTTTTGCATACTGGCCCCAAGAGGCAATTTCAATTATGCCTTATGGTAATTCTGACATGTCCATTTCCAGATATTATTGGGTTTTGCTCGTCTACAATAGACAGTTAAATGAGGGGCTGGGCTTCTGCTAGTTATCAGTAATGGAAAGCTTAGAATGAGAAATCAATGCTAAAATGCATGGATGTATTTTTTAGCAGAGTGCTACATCAGCTTGTGACCACAGGAATCCTAAATGCCCTCTTTGGTTGATCTTCCATCTTAGGTGACAGCAAAGGGCAGATAAGAAAGTAATGAGTGCTTTTTCCTGTGTTCAGGGCACATTTCAAACCTGGCTCCCAAAGTGTCCAGTTAGCTGTGGAAACTGGCGTGGACTCCAGGTAGCACCTGGCGGGGGAGGGAAGTGCTGGAGAGACGCACTGTCTCCTCGGCTGCTGCTAGGGTGCCCAAGCACAGTCCTGAAAGGGTCCTGGGACATCTGCTTTTCCAGCCTCTTCATTGTACGGAAGAGAAGTCTGAGTCCTGCGCAGGGACCAGGACCTTCTAGGGGTCCCAGGGGATACTGATTAGAGGCCAGACCAGAGCTTGGTCCCCTCCTGATTTCCAGTCCAGAGTTCTTTGTGAGGTCAGGTTGGCCTCAGCCTACTACTAAACCCACATGCATTTTTATCCCCATTAGCACTGTGTTTCTTCATCTTTTCCATAAGATATATTACTAATTCAAATGCAGTCTCCTCCGATTTAGTCAGTTGTGACATGTGAAAGCTAAGTGAGAAGTACATCTCATAGTTAATATCAGTATCCTATTTCTACTTGCACAGTGAGTTATTTCTGTTCCTTCATTCCAGGACAGGATTCTGGGAAGGTTGTGATCTGGAATATGTCTCCAGTCCTCCAGGAGGATGATGAGAAGGATGAAAATATTCCCAAGATGCTCTGCCAGATGGACAATCACTTAGGTATTACAGAGTGGCCCTTTGCAGGCTTTGCGTGTTGGCAGAGTGCCCAAGGTTAGCACATGTGTTTGTAATTAGAAAGATAAGGCCCCGTGCGGCGGTAACTGCCCTCGGCCTGCTGTCTGAAGGCACAGATGTTGGCTGCACACCTGGGTGAGTTACTCGGCAGAAGACTCGGCCCGCCCACAGAACCGTCTTTGGACAGTCCGCAGGTACCTCTGGTGATTTCCTGCTCATGAGTCGTTGCTGCCTGATTCCGTGGGGCTCTGGGGCAGTGGCCTGGAGGCAGGAGGGCTCTGGGGAAGGGCATGTTACAGAAAACTAACTCACCAGAATGTCTCACACTGCCACTGTCTCTCCGAGGCCCTCTGCCAGGACACCAGGTGGCCGTCGGACAGGGTGGTCTCCTTTCCTGTGTTAGCGCCGTAGTTTCCCACTCCTGAGCGTCAGGGTGACTGTATCTGGCTCTGGTTTCCAACCTAGCTGCCCCCTGAAGTGCTCCATTACAATTACTTCCCCTTCCTTTGTTCTGTACGTTCTTGCTCTCCCAACATGCCTCTCAGTGTCCTCTGACCTGGAAGTCGTTTACAGGCCACGTGTGGGCCACAACTTGAATAATGTCCCTTGTATTGCGGGGCTCCCAAAGGCCGAGCTGTGAGTGCTCCCAGAGACTCCGACCCACTGGGGAGCTGGGAGGCTGGGGTGGTCCTGCTGGCCTTAGCTGTAAGTGCAGAGCCAGCCAACCTGTAGTGCTGACAAGGTTGGAAAGTCTGAATTTAAAAGGACTGACAGGTGGGATAAAGTCAGAGTTTTATGCTTTACCAAGCTGCTCCCCCAAAAGCTCTAAGGAAGGCTTCTCAGTCTTTTTAGCACATGCTGTCTTTCAAGAATTACTGCTACTCAGTACATCTTATCATTAGACAGCCCTTTGAAGTAATGATATTTAGTTATTTATCAGTTTTCATAGAAACAAACCTCCTAGTGAATGTCTCATCCAGCACTAACCCTTCTCAGACTGTGTAACCTCTCCCATCCAGGTTCTGCTCTGGCCGTTTGTCATTACAGCACAGATAGGTTAGGTCCTGAACAGAGTATCCTTCTAGGGCTCTCAACACAGTACATGCCGTGAATAGGTTAGAGAGATTAGATTTTATAAACCCTTTGCATCTTGCCAAACTCTGCATAAAGCAAATGGGCGTGACTATGCATTTTCATCACCCTATTTTTTTTTCTTCCCAGCATGTGTGAACTGTGTGCGGTGGTCAAACAGTGGGATGTATTTAGCTTCTGGGGGAGATGACAAACTGATTATGGTGTGGAAGCGGGCTACGTAAGCATCATTTTCCTTTCTTCACATTTTACTTTTAGAAGCTTCTTTGCTGGTCTTTATTCACAGTCACTTTTCCCTGCCCTGCCCTCAAGTCCCCAGAGCTCCAACTTCATAAGTAGCAGGAAGCACACATAGGCCAGGGGCAGCTGGGGCCTCACCAGGGAGCCGGGAGGCCCCCACCTGCCTGGTGACCTGCACAGCTGCCCCCCCCTGCGTGGCTGCAGGGCTTCTGTCTGAGAGGAAGGCTGGTCCCTTCCAGTGCTGACAGTGGCGGCTTCATTTGTTTTGTTCTTCAAATGAAATTTTCCAACAAATGGTTAGAAGTTGCACCCCGATGGCATCCAGGGCAGGGGATCCAGAGCTCAGCCCCTCTGCCATTTACCTTATACTCCGTCAGCCTCACCCTGGGACTTAGGAAGTTCCCCTTGAAAGGCCCTGTTCTGCACCCACAACAAACTGACCATTACCTGGAAAACTACCTTTAAATAAGCAGAGCCTCTCAGGCTGGGTTCTGGGACTCTGTTCCATGACCAGCTCTCTTGGTGACTCTGGGGGCCGGTCAGACCCTCCCCCACCGCTTAGCCAGAGCAGTCCTGTGGCCATGGCTGTGAGGGCAGAGGCGCGCCTCCGCCCTTCCCCTCTCAGCTACTGATCAAGCGCTTCCTGTGGGAGTGTAAAGAGGTCTATGGAAGCCACAAGTGTTAGCAGAGGCTCTGCGCAGCGGTGGTGTCCGCACTGCCTCCGTGAGGGCGCAGCCGACTGCTCACCTGGCAGGAGCTAGTACCTGTGGTTCCAGAGCTTTCTGCCTCTGGTGTTAAGGCACAGGTGTCTAATTCATTACAAGGGGGCTTAAAAAATACTGTTAATTTTGCTATTTTAGCACCCACTCCTGAGCGTCAGGGTGACTGTATCTGGCTCTGGTTTCCAACCTAGCTGCCCCCTGAAGTGCTCCATTACAATTACTTCCCCTTCCTTTGTTCTGTACGTTCTTGCTCTCCCAACATGCCTCTCAGTGTCCTCTGACCTGGAAGTCGTTTACAGGCCACGTGTGGGCCACAACTTGAATAATGTCCCTTGTATTGCGGGGCTCCCAAAGGCCGAGCTGTGAGTGCTCCCAGAGACTCCGACCCACTGGGGAGCTGGGAGGCTGGGGTGGTCCTGCTGGCCTTAGCTGTAAGTGCAGAGCCAGCCAACCTGTAGTGCTGACAAGGTTGGAAAGTCTGAATTTAAAAGGACTGACAGGTGGGATAAAGTCAGAGTTTTATGCTTTACCAAGCTGCTCCCCCAAAAGCTCTAAGGAAGGCTTCTCAGTCTTTTTAGCACATGCTGTCTTTCAAGAATTACTGCTACTCAGTACATCTTATCATTAGACAGCCCTTTGAAGTAATGATATTTAGTTATTTATCAGTTTTCATAGAAACAAACCTCCTAGTGAATGTCTCATCCAGCACTAACCCTTCTCAGACTGTGTAACCTCTCCCATCCAGGTTCTGCTCTGGCCGTTTGTCATTACAGCACAGATAGGTTAGGTCCTGAACAGAGTATCCTTCTAGGGCTCTCAACACAGTACATGCCGTGAATAGGTTAGAGAGATTAGATTTTATAAACCCTTTGCATCTTGCCAAACTCTGCATAAAGCAAATGGGCGTGACTATGCATTTTCATCACCCTATTTTTTTTTCTTCCCAGCATGTGTGAACTGTGTGCGGTGGTCAAACAGTGGGATGTATTTAGCTTCTGGGGGAGATGACAAACTGATTATGGTGTGGAAGCGGGCTACGTAAGCATCATTTTCCTTTCTTCACATTTTACTTTTAGAAGCTTCTTTGCTGGTCTTTATTCACAGTCACTTTTCCCTGCCCTGCCCTCAAGTCCCCAGAGCTCCAACTTCATAAGTAGCAGGAAGCACACATAGGCCAGGGGCAGCTGGGGCCTCACCAGGGAGCCGGGAGGCCCCCACCTGCCTGGTGACCTGCACAGCTGCCCCCCCCTGCGTGGCTGCAGGGCTTCTGTCTGAGAGGAAGGCTGGTCCCTTCCAGTGCTGACAGTGGCGGCTTCATTTGTTTTGTTCTTCAAATGAAATTTTCCAACAAATGGTTAGAAGTTGCACCCCGATGGCATCCAGGGCAGGGGATCCAGAGCTCAGCCCCTCTGCCATTTACCTTATACTCCGTCAGCCTCACCCTGGGACTTAGGAAGTTCCCCTTGAAAGGCCCTGTTCTGCACCCACAACAAACTGACCATTACCTGGAAAACTACCTTTAAATAAGCAGAGCCTCTCAGGCTGGGTTCTGGGACTCTGTTCCATGACCAGCTCTCTTGGTGACTCTGGGGGCCGGTCAGACCCTCCCCCACCGCTTAGCCAGAGCAGTCCTGTGGCCATGGCTGTGAGGGCAGAGGCGCGCCTCCGCCCTTCCCCTCTCAGCTACTGATCAAGCGCTTCCTGTGGGAGTGTAAAGAGGTCTATGGAAGCCACAAGTGTTAGCAGAGGCTCTGCGCAGCGGTGGTGTCCGCACTGCCTCCGTGAGGGCGCAGCCGACTGCTCACCTGGCAGGAGCTAGTACCTGTGGTTCCAGAGCTTTCTGCCTCTGGTGTTAAGGCACAGGTGTCTAATTCATTACAAGGGGGCTTAAAAAATACTGTTAATTTTGCTATTTTAGCCAACATAAAATATTTAGAATCTGATTTGGAAAATGGAAAACATAATTGCAGTCCCACCACCTGAAAAAAGCCCCAGTTAATATTTTGGGATTTTTCATGTGTACCCTTCTGACCCATTTTCCATGCCTAGACGATATCCATGTTACATGCAGTTTTTCTTTACATAGTGGTATCATACTGCATATAGTGCCCTGTGTTTTTCACTTAATTATATATTGTGAACATTCTTCCATGTATCTCAAGATTTGTGATGGCTGTGTAGTGTTTCATCAAGCGCATGGATCATGATTGACTTAATCAGCCCCTGTTCCAGTTTGCTGTTTTCCAACCATTGTTTGTTTTTGCTCTTTTCTGTCTGCCGTGACAAGCCGTGCTGCAGCGAGCATCCTGTGCAATTCCCGAAGCATTCCCGGAGTACCTCTCTGACTCCTCTCTCACACAGGTACATCGGCCCCAGCACTGTGTTCGGCTCCAGTGGTAAACTTGCCAACGTGGAGCAGTGGCGTTGTGTCTCCATCCTCCGGAGTCACTCAGGCGGTGAGTGGGGCTGCCGCTTGGGGTGGGCGGCCCCAGCAGCTGTCTGAGATGAGCAGCAACACTCCAGGGCTCCCCTGTACTCTTGTGGTCCTTACAGCAGCCCTGTGCTGGGCTGTACCCCCCGTCACCATCGGTCACACCCTGCCTATCCCTCAAGGTCTGTGCAGTCACTGTCCCCACTGCCCTTCTCCAGCTGCATTCAGTGCCCCACTCCTGCCCTCATGGGGTATATGTTTATATCTTTAATGTAGAACTCCCCACGTTCTGCTGTTTATCCTGGTGAACTGAATCACTACCTTCATCAGTGGATCACTAAGTCCGTAAGCACACTTTATTTATTCCACAGAAACCAGCACACGGGGGCCCAGTGGAAAGTTTTTACTTGACCTTGAATATGTTTGCAAAGTGTTTAACAGACTTGGGATGAAAAGGGACACATTTTATAGACTGGACTGAAGAGGAGGAAGGTTGGTCAATAGAGTCTACAGCTATATGCTGCACTCTTAGATAGATGACAGGGATACCAGAGTATAATGTAGTCTTATCTCAGAAAGCCCGTGGTCTAGCCTGGGAATGGCCTGGAAGGTTTCCAAGGCAAGGGGACAGAAAGGTTTGGTGCAAATGGTGAGTCGACAGCATTTTACCCCTGCTGGATCTTTCCATACAAGGCAGGGAGCTGCACAGCATGGGCTGGCTGAGTGTGCAGCAGCCAGGTTGTGGAAGACTCGCCCTCCCTGTTAATGAGGGTGGCCTTTATCACGGAAGAGTTGGAGCCATTAGCAGCTTTGAACATAAGGGGAAGATCATCTGACAGCTGTGTGGAAATGGAGGTGGTTTCAGGGGTTCAGATGAAAACTACAAGGCTGGACTAGGCCTGTGATGACTGGGCTAGAGGAGAGGAGAGTGGAGAGTTCCTCAGAGAGCAAGGGAAGAGGTGAGGGAGATTCCTAACTGGGCACCTGGATTGCCAGCGGTGTCCTTTACTGACACCATAGTGACCACAGGCTTGTGGGGATAGACGCCAGTCGGTGTAGCCCTGGGGAGGAATGTCATGAAGAATTGAGCCCGGAGCACTGGGGGAGACAGGGAGGGAGAGAGAGGCTTAGAGGGCATCCTGTGTAACCATTGGTATATATGCTTAACAAATACTCTGCAGGCACTTCAGTGGAGAACAAACCTACCTCTTGGTGACCACAAATTTATTCCACGTTTTTGAAAGCTGACAGAGTAGTATTGTGTTGTTGGCAATAGTAAAAATGTGTAACTTACCCTTACTTATTCTCAGCTGCTCACAGTTGAGTCTAGTGAGCTCACAGCCTGGGCTTCCCTGGAACTCAGAGAAAGTGCCTGTGAGGATGTTCAGGTGTGGCGTGGGGCTTCAAGGACAACTTTTATGGGGCCTCTGACCTTAGACTCAGGCTGAGCCCTAACCTTGACCTCTCTCCTGGCCTCCCACTCCAGGGCTCTCCTTTGCCGGGAGAGGGGTTATCCACCCTCAGCAGGGGTACCTGCCACTCCTTCTTCAGTGGCCCTCATAGCAGGTGTGGGCAGGACCATTTACAATGAACAAGTCAGTTACAAAGCAGAAATAAATGAATAGAAAGCACTGAGTATTTGAAAGCAAAGTGTGAAAAACATATACTTGGCATATTTAATCAGGGGGTTGGAAGAGGAAACCTAGACAAAACTAGAAGTAAAAGGTCTAGGAAAACATTTAACCTAAGGAAAAAATTATCACTAAACCAAAAAAACATACTAGTAAAGAAATATAAATTTCTAGAAAATTTAAATTTTCAAAATTGATACCATAGGGTTAGGAAAATCTGAACAAAATAGTAACCAATGAAGAAATTGGAAGCTGCCTTCAGAAGTGATTCCTGATCCTAAAGTACATTGATGTGTTGTTTCAAGCTTTAGGACAATTAATCCAGAACTTAGAAACATTTATTTTTCAAAGGTAACTTTAACTCTGGGTTTCCAATTCCAAAGCTTAATGAAAATAAAAATGGAACAAAAGCAAAGACAAATATGAATAAAGATAGAAAAATCTGAATACTAATGTATTTAATAACATTTGAAAACTATTTTGACTAAATAAAATGGAAGAGTTTTATATAAAGGAAATCTACCAATATAACTTAATATACTAGGAGGTTAACTATGAAAAGCCAGAGTCATCTTAGATAATTCAGCATCAATTCCTAATAATAATGCTTTTGTGAAAATGGCCATAGAAAGCTATTTCTGTAACATGATGTAGTTCTATATTTTTTCCAAACCAATGGCAAATATAGTTCACAATCAAGCCTTATTTATATCAAGGAAAGACAAAGATGGGTGCTGTCACTTAGTTTGTATACTTTGGAATTTCTGCATTAGAATTAAATAAAAGAAGGTAGACACAGTGGCAAACAATACAAAAGTGAAATGATATGAGTATGGCATTGTTGTATATCAACAAACCTAAAGGAATGAGTGCATAGAACTTATAACATTGAAAAGCACTTAGGACTAATGAAAATGAGTCATTGGATGTGTATCATAGAGGAAAATGTTTAATTATTTATCTTTCACTAAGAATAACCAATTAGAATAATAATGAAAGGAGAATCCTTACACAGTAAGGTCAAAAATTGTAAATGCCCAGAAATAATCTTACCAAGAAATAAATGAGATTTCTAAGATTTAAAACCACAAACTTTTTTTGAAAAATATAAAAGACCACTTCATAAATGGAAATAATGAATAAAATAAAGACATTATTTTTTTCCCAAATTAATATCTATGATTGAGCATCTGACATGTTCCATGTACTCTTCTATCCTTAGAGAGTTTACATTCTTTTTAAGAGGGACAGACAATGACTAGTCATGTAAGATACTTAAAGATAAGTGCCAAGAAGCAAAATAAGGCAGGGTTCTCAAGGAGGGCCAGGCAGAGGTGACATCCAAGGGGAGACCAGATAAAGGTTAGGGGACAACTGTGGGGACAGCCAAGGAGCTCTCCGGGTGGAGGGAACAGCCAGGGCCACAGCCCTAGAGCATAGACAGGCACTTAGTGTGTTCAGGGAACCAGTAGGGCGAGGGCAGAGGGCAGGAGAGCAGGGATGGGACATCTCCGAGTGAGCAGAGGACTGAGGAGGCCTGTGGCAGCTGTGTGGAGTCCATACTGTGGGGGGCTAAGGGCTGCACCGGGGAGACCAGCGAGGGGGCTGCCCATAACCTAGGTGAGAAATGATGGCAGTTTGGACCTGGGTCAGAACGATGGAAATCAGGAAACATGGTCAGGTGCAGACTTCCTGGAGTACGGCATACGAGGTGTGAGATAAGCAGAGAAATCAGGATGGGACGGTGGCAAGGATGCGTTGTGTGTGGGCGGGACAGAAAATATTTGCTGGGGAAAATGTTTAGAAGGGGTTTTGGACATGTTTGTATTACCTAAGCAGCAATATAAGAGGACCTGCCAGTGTAGGCACTTGGGCATGTGAGTCAGGCATGGGTGAGAAGTGTGGGTAGGAACAGAAAACGGGCAGAGCCTTGGGGCTGGCATTGATGAGGAACCCGCAAAAGAGGCTGAGACAGAAAGACTAGTTCAGATAGTGGCAAGAGCTTTTGAAGGAGAAGAGAGCAAGCAGCCTCCCTTGTCTCAAGGTCAGGTGAGAGCAGAGGATTGGCCATTGGTCACCGCATGGACGCTGCTGCTGGCTGTGTTGGGTTGAAGCCAAATTGGAGGGCCCTCAAGAAAGATGAAGGGGAGGACAGAGCTGGACTAGCCATGCTGGGCTTTGTCAGGTACCTGCGAAGACATAGGAGATGAGCAGAGGGCAGTAGTGGAGCTGTGGAGGGCGGACTGCAAGCCAGACAGGGAGACAGCAGACAGAGCGAGTCCTCTGGTGCCAGGGGGCTGAGGAGCCTGACAGACCCACTGGGGCTGAGCATGAGCTGGAAGCACCGAGTTGACAGCAGGAGTCGGGGAGGATTGGCGTCAAGAATGGGTTGCAGTGACTTGTCAGGGAATGAAAGGCTGAGGTAGTGGATGCCAGGGTCATTGAAGGAGGAAGAGAAGTTTAAGGATCCAGGAGCCTTGGGTGTAGAGGAGGCATCTTGGAATCACGAAGAATGGTGACGGGAGTGTTGGCTGGAATGACTTTGACCACAAATGTAACTCTTCAAGTGCAGGGAGGATCTCTAACTTTTCAAGTGTGTAGATGTGCTATGGGATGGAGAGGGAAACGGTATAGTCTGAAGACTGGCTTTCTTCCATCTGGGGTTTGGGAAGCAAATGTCATGTGTGGATTCATTGCATAACTCAGCAGTGACTCCAAAAGGCATCCGGAAGGATAAGTCAGGCTGTGAAAGAAATCATTCACAGGATTACAGATGGCGGCGTGAGAGGAGAGACAGAGGCTTCCTCCTAAAACTGGACACAATCAGAAAATTTAATTGGCGCAACTAATCCTGAGAGAGCAACAGGAAAGAGGACGGCGCCAGACTGCACACACCTGGAGAGAAGAGCAGACCTCAGCGAACGGGGTAACGTACCAGAGCTGTGGCTCCCGGGACCCGAGACCCTCGCCCACCCCAGCTCACCGGCGGGAGGAAGGGAAACGGAGCAGGGAGGGAGTGGAAGGCCTGGGACTGCTGAATACCTAGCTCCAGAGATCTGCGCTGGGAGCACAAACCTGCATTTCACGGTGCTTTCATGATACTCACATGACTACCGGGTTGGAAAGTTAATACAGGCATAGTTCCTGGACAGACTGAGATCCCAGCTGCTTGTGGAAAGCAGGGATCCATATCTGGCTGCTCTGGGACAAAAGCTTATACCTGTGTGACTGGCCCACTGGCTCAGGCAGTGGAGACAGGCACAGGAGCCAGGAGATGGGGAACAGCTCTTTCCCCCCGCCAGGCACCAGTACCGCTCCCCTGTGACCCCCGACATTGCATCAAGGGCTCAGCAGCTCCATAATAGAGCTTCTGGACACTAGAGGGCGCCATATACAAACATGAAAGGCCAAAGGAACCT